CTGGACATGATGTATTTGGTTAAAAGACTGAGGTAGATAGACCTTTAATGTGAGCTTTATCTGGCTAGACATTAGGCTATGTTTACTTCTTGTTATAGCTGTGTTGTCAGAGACTAAAATTTCCTCTACTGTCCTAGTTTTTGTCTTGCCTGTTGTCTTTGGGTTTTCCTGGAGACTCCTCAGATAGTAAAATAGTTTCCTTTGAGTGTAAGATTTTTTTTTAAGGAAAATAGAGATTTGGGGCATATTTCAAAAATGGTGACTTTTCCCCTTACCCTGCTGGAAACAGGAGGGGATTTTTCTCTGATCCTAACAGTGAGAACATGGTAGGGCTCATGGAACTGAAACTCATGAAAGCCTAAGGACCCTCCTACAGCAGCCCCCTCAGAGTTTTTGATTCTCGAGTTAGTATACACTGAGCAGTCTGTCAATTATAAAGTTTTCCTGTTGGTCCTGGTTCTTACTTTGGGCTTCTACTCTGTTAAGCTGTGAGTGAGTCTCTGTATCTGTCTGTCCATCTCTCCAATGTTCAAGGCAGCAGTTTGATCTGTGACCTCAATCCCCTGACCAGTCTAAGAGGAGTTGTTGATTTTTCATTTTGTTCAGGTTTTTTCTTGTTGTGAGAACGGAAGTGAGGACTTCCAAGCTCTTTACGTATAGGACCAGAAATCAGAATTCTTCTTTGGATTTATTTTGGTCATTGTCTTCTACTTTCTTGGGTGGAACATGGATTATTGATTTTAAGCCTTTCTTTTCTCAGCTCAGCATTAAAAGCCATAAATTTCCTTCGAAGCATTAAATTAGATGTGTTCCATAAATTTTAATGTTGTGTTTCCATTATCAATCAGTTGAAATATTTTCTAATTTCCTTTGTAATTTTCTTTTGCCATAGATTATTTAGAAGTCCAATATTCAATTTCCCAATAATTGGATTTTTTTCTAGATATCTTATTTCTCCTGATTTCTAATTTAATTCCAATGTGGTCAAAGGAACATACTCTAAGTTTTCAGATTTTTGAAATTTATTGAGTCTTGTGTAATGGACCTACGTATGATCTGTCTTGATGACTTTTTTTTTTTTTTTTTTGGCGGTACGTGGGCCTCTAACTGTTGTGGCCTCTCCCGTTGCGGAGCGCAGGCTCCGGACATGCAGACTCAGCAGCCATGGCTCACGGGCCCAGCCACTCCGTGGCATGTGGGATCTTCCCGGACCAGGGCACGAACCCGTGTCCCCTGCATCTGTAGGCGGACTCTCAACCACTGTGCCACCAGGGAAGCCCATTGGTGACTATTTTTAGTGCACTTTAAAACCTGTATTCTGCAGTTGTTGGGTATAGTGTTCTATAAACCATTAGGTCAGGGTGGCTGATGCTTCATTTAGATCTTCTGAATTCTTACAGATTTTTAAAATTATTATATCATTCTCTGTTAGAGGATATAATAAACTTTAGTTATGATAGAGGATTTGTCTGTTTTTTAGTTCTGTCAGGTTTGCTTCATGGGTTTTGAACCTCTCATTAGGAACATTTACTTGATATGTTTTCTGATACATTTTTATTATAATGAAATCTCTTTATCACCGGTAATGTTCATTATCTTGAAGTCTTTTATCTGTATGTAATATAGCCACCTTTCAGCTTTCTCATTAGTGTTTATATGGCCTCTTTTTCCATTCTTTTACTCCAAGACAGTGGTATAGTTGTGCCTTGTTTTTTTACCCTAGAGACTCTTCAGATAGGATCTGAGACTTCTGCAGTTCTTTTAGCTGTGATCGTCTGTTGTTTTACAGGAGCCCTGTTGATATAGTGGCTTTTAATTGGGAAATTTCACCCTTTAATATAATTTTTCATGTGGTTGGGTGTTAAATCTACTATTTCTGTATGTTTTTTTTTTCCTTAACTGCTCCCTTTTTCACTCATTTCTTGCCTTTTTTTGGATTATTTGAATTTTAATAATACTACATTGATTTCTCTGTTCCCATTTCTAGGGAGACAGTTCTTCAAAAGTGTTTCACATTTCTTCATATCTTGTGAGCATGGCATTGGCTGCCCTTTGTTCCTGACCATCTTTTCAAGGATGTTTGCAGAGTGAATAACCTTGGAAGATTCAGTGCTTCCCTCTAGAGCAAGGGGATGGCATCCTTACTTCCTATTATAAAGGATTTGGATTCCCTAAGGTCAGATTTCCTTTCCTGTAATGCAGTCATCTATCCTTCACACTGCCCTGTGGAAATTGGGGCTCAGGAGACAGGCATCAAAATGCTGATACTCTGGCTGCTGCTACTGCCGCAAGTAATAAACTTTGTCTCACCCCAGAGAGTTTTGTCTTTACCATCTCTCATGATACCGTGGCAGGCTGACTAGCTAACTAGGAAATAGGGTGAAATCTCAGACCCCTTACAGTCTTGACATCCTTTACTCCCTCCTCTTCCTTTGTGCTCTTGCTTCATTGATAGTCCATCTTGTTACCTTACAAATTCCACAATTCACAATTAGAATTTTTGATTTAAATAGTCTTATGTCTTTTAAATAGTTAAAAAGAGAAAAGAGAGAAATACATATTTTACATGTAACCACTTATTTACCATTTTTGTACTTCCTGCCTTTCTGAAGATTGTAGTTACAATGTGCCATCATGACCCTTTATCCTGAAGAACTTTTTACAGCATTTCTTTAGTGAAGGTATTTTGGCAGTGCAGTCTCTAAGTTCTTGTTCTTACAGAAATGTCTTTATAAAGCATTTTTGAAGTGTGTTTGGCAGCATACAGAATTCTGGCTTAGTTTCTTTTTCAGCACCTTAAATATGTCATTACATTGTCTTTTGGCCGAAATTTCACGTGTCTGATGAGAAGTTAGTCTTCATTTATCATCCTTTCCCTATATGTATTTAGTCATTTTTCTTTTGTTTTTTGTTTGTATGTTTTGGTTTGGTTTTTAAAATAATTTTTTCTTATCGTGTTCTGAATTTACAGCATTTTTTAAAAATTTATTTTTAATTTTATTTATTTTTGGGTGTGTTACGTCTTCGTTGCTGCGTGCAGGCTTTCTCTAGTTGCGGCGAGCGGGGGCTACTCTTTGTTGCTGTGCGTGGGCTTCTCATTGTGGTGGCTTCTCGTTGCAGAGCACGTGCTCTAGGTGCATGGGCTTCAGTAGTAACGGCACGCGGGCTCAGTAGTTGGGGCACACGGGCTTAGTTGCTCTGTGGCATGTGGGATCTTCCTGGACCAGGGATCGAACCCATGTCCTCAGCATTGGCAGGCAGATTCTTAACCCCTGCGCCAGCAGGGAAGTCCCTGTTTGTTTTTATTCAGTTGGGATTTTTTTGAGATTTTGGGCTCTGATATCTTTCACTAATTTGGGGAAGTTTTTGGTCATCATTTCATCAGGTAATTTCCTGTTCTGTTCTGTTTCCTTTCCTCTATGACTCCACATTAACCTGTGTTACACCACTTGATATTTCCCCTCAGGTCTCTGAGGCTCTGATAATTTTTCTTCATTCTCTTTCTTTGGTCACGCTGCACAGGTTGCTGGATCATAGTTCCCTGATCAGGGATTGAACCGGGCCCTTGGCAGTGAAAATGCAGAGTCCTAACCACTGGACTGCCAGTAAATTCCCATTTTTCTTCATTCTTCAGATTTAATAAGTTCTGTCTTCAACTCCAGTGACTCCTTGATGTCTCCTTTCTGCTGTTAAGCCCACTTAGTGAAGTTTTCGTTTCAGGTTTAGAATTTTCATTTGGCTTTTTTTTTTTTTTTTTTTTTTTTGCGGCCATGGCTCACGGGCCCAGCTGCTCCACGGCATGTGGGATCTTCCCGGACCGGGGCGCGAACCCGTGTCCCCTGCATCGGCAGGCGGACTCTCAACCACTGCGCCACCAGGGAAGCCCTGGCAGTTTTTGTATAGTAACAATTTCCTTGCTGAAATTACAAATTTGTCCATTCATTACACATACATCATCTTTTAAATTCTTGAATGTGTTTATAATAGGTGCTCTGGAGTGCTTGTCTGCTGATTGCATCATCTTAATCATCTCAGTGTTGGTTTCTGTTGACTACTTTTTCTTTGAGTATGGGCACATTTTCTTGTTTCTTTTTATGTCTAATGAATTTTGATTGGATAGTGAACATTATGAAGAATGCATTGTAAAGACTGTGGATTTTTAAATATTCTTCTAAAGAGTCCGTTCTGTTCTAGAAGGCAGTTAACTTTGGCTGGATTCAGCCTTTCACGCTCAGGCACCATTGTGGTGGGCTGCAGCTGAAATTTCCGCCCAGCCTTTAGTTGCTGGGTTTTTTTTGGTTGGTTTCTGCCAGAACTCTGTTGTCTTCTCCTGGGGTTGTGTAATTTAGTGGTGAGCCACGTTTTGTGGCTGATTTTGTCTCTAAATTTGGGGGCTTATGTCCTCTGCAGCCTTTTTTCCTACCATTAACCTTGTAACTTTCTGATTAGTCTACCAGACTGAACTCTGATATTTGCCATCTCAAGCAAGTAAATGTGCTTTTCCTTGCAACTCCCACAGGCAAAAAGCTGTAAATTTGCAAATCTCACTCACTGCACTTTGTCTTTCAACAGTAAAGCTTCCCTATAGTTTCTCCTTGCTTTTGGTTCTTCTCCAGAGATTTCAGATATTGGGTTTAAATAATATTTTCTCAGATTTCATAATTGGACAGGAGAGTTAATCTCTGCTATTCATCCACTTCCTTTTTATAATAATCTTTGAAAACATTGCTTCTAAGCCCTAAAGTAGAACAATCCCAAGCTGAGTAATACAGATTTTATTCTGTAAGCAGGAAGTATCATCCAGAAATGCTTTACTTGTGTTTGAAAGTTGAGAAAAATTCTTTTTATTTTTTTTAAAGAATGGGCATACATAAATCTGTGAAGCTTTTATTTTAGAAATAAGTGCTTGAAAGAAACAAATTACCAATCATCACTACAAACTTTTTTGTATGTAAGGTTCAGGTATATATTTTGACCACTTCTTTCTATTATAATTTTAGGATGCCTTCTTGAAAATCATTCGAAATGAGGGCATTAAATCCCTGTGGAGTGGCCTTCCTCCTACCTTGTAAGTTGAAATTTAATGTTTTTCTTACTAAATGATGGTTGTTATTTTGCCTTATAATCAGCCTCATTGGACAACATCATGCACTTTTAATGTTAGTGTTTTTTCATTTTCTAGAGTATTTTTTTGTGAATCTCACAGCTATCCACATATTTGATGATTTGCTGGTAGGATTCACAGGACCTAAAGAAGGTGATAATCATGTCTGCGGTTTATTACAGCAAAAGAAACGAAGCAGAATCAGTAAGGGAAAAGGACGACAGGAGTCGACCAGGCAAAGGCACCCTGAGCCCTCCCGAGTGACACTGCAGAGCGTGTGCTGCTTCTCCCAGCACTGAGCCGCAGCGGCACACACAGTGTTTCTGTCTCGTGCAGCCCTGGAGTCTGAGTCTAGGGCTTGTACTGCGGGCTGATGACACAGGCACATTCTGTTTGTGACCAGCTGTGATGACCAAAACTCCAGCGCCCCAAAAAGCAAGCAGATGTTTACCAAAAATCACATCATTTGCACAAATCAACCTAGACAAGCTGGTTTAGTGCTCCAGACATACAGAAAAACCTTGTTTTAGGGAATATTCCAAGGGCTAAATTCCTTGGGGGTGACCAAAGGTCAAGCAGGCAGATAGGTCCTCCTGAAGATACAGATTAGAGCAGCTAGGCCTGCTGTGTTCATTTTTGTGCACAAGCATAATTTTTTTTTCATGTTCAGAAATTAAGAATTTAGTGTTCATTTGACTGTTTATTTTACTAAAATAATGAGAGGTATTGTGCTATGTATACTTTCCTTTTCCAGATAATTATAATTCTCTACTAACTAGCTATTATATGAATTAACTTGACAAGCTAGTAAGGCTGAATGTAAAAATCCCATAATATCTTGACTTTCTCTGCCTCCTTTCTTTCTAATTTATCTTTTTATAGAGCAAATTAGTCAGTTTTGAGGCATATATTCTTAACAGTGCCTGAGGCTATAAAGTTAGCGGTAGATCCAAGAGCAGCAGTCGGTCTTATTCCTACATTCTCATCGTCACACTTCACTGTAGAACATTAGGCATTTCCATGTGTGGTCTGTTAATGTCCTTGATTAGGCCATAAACAGAGACTGGTTTTTTGTTGCATTAATATTTATGACATGACAGTACCTGCAACTTTGTGTTTAATTAAGGACTTCCTCTTGATATTTTCATTTAAAAGAATAAGTCATTGGAATTTCCTCAAAATTCTAGTATATATAATTCCAGCGACATTAATTGTAATTTATTTTCAGTTATAAGTAGGTATGGTATATGGTCCACAGTTCAAAAGAATTTTACAATTGTGCTTGTACTTTTGACTTTAGTGATTTTCATGTTATCGTAATGTAGTTGAGAAGGAAGACCAGAAACAGAGTAAGTCAAGGAGATAGAGAAGTGTCCTCATTTGTCTTTTCTTATTTATGACCTGACTGGGTGCTCTGTAACTTAACTTCTCAACTACAGTATAAACCTTTGGAGAGCACATACCTACTTTACACCTTTTTGTTGCCTAAGTTAAACACTAATAGTTTTTTAAATTAAAAAAAAAATTGATCTCATGGCTGATTTGTTGTGGTTTTCAGCTTATATAAAATAGAAGGATTTTATCTTATATTTAATAATAAGAATATGCTTAAGCCTTTGACAGTGTTGTACAAATCTTTTTGTGTTTCTAACAGAGTGATGGCAGTTCCTGCCACAGTTATTTATTTTACCTGCTATGATCAATTAACTGCTCTTCTGAGATCTAAATTAGGAGAAAGTGAAAGCCGCATACCAATTGTTGCTGGAATTGTGGCTAGAGGTAAGTAATAAATTACTATATTTTCATTCTGATTTCTGCTTAACGCTTGTTTTAAAATTTTGATATTCATAGAGAATTTGTTTAAAATACAGAGTATTGGTAAAGACATATTTTGCATTGTAGTTTGGTACTGATTTGTTAATATCTGTACTCTAGAATTCATATTGTATGGTGATTGCTATCGGAATGAGATGGGATCAACCTATCCCTGTCAAATCTTGGACAGAGATTTTAGATTTGAGATTTTAGACTTTAGATTCTAGATTTTAGGATGATAACAGCTGTCAGATTAATGCCAACATCTTTAATCATTTTCCTTATAGACTTTGAGATTCAGGGTTTAATCATAAGGAAATTTGCCTCTGCACAGAAGGACATTTTTCTCTGTGCAGTGGAAGTGAAGTTTGTAGTAGTCCTGGTTGATGTATAAGGGTTGTGGAACTGCTCTTGAAAGTGTTGAAACCAGAAAGAGTAAGGTATGTGAAATAGCTTTATCAAGGAAAAAGATCTGAGCCAGTATGGTTGGTATCATAAGATATTTGACTTTAAGGTTTGCTTCATTTCAGAATAAAAGCTTAAAATACAAAAATGCACGAAATATTAATTTTTGCATGTGTGTTTTCATAATGCATGGCTTTATTTTTGTTGTATTTGCTTGTTTGTACTAGTTGGTGCAGTAACTGTAATAAGTCCACTGGAATTGATTAGAACTAAGATGCAATCTAAGAAGTTTTCTTACGAGGAACTGCATCAGTTTGTCAGCAAGAAAGTGTCTGAAGATGGTTGGATTTCCCTCTGGAGGGGTTGGGCTCCTACCATTCTTAGAGATGTACCATTCTCAGGTAGGGTCTATCTGCAGGTTTGCCTTACATATCATTTTATATCAACTAAATTTTAAATCCTTTAAGGCTAAAGGTAAGTTATCTTCTTTAGTGACCTAGTTCAGTGTTGGGCTCTCAGATCTTGATAAGTATTTATTGAATGGACAGTTTCTAATTCAAGCCTGGCTTTCTTTTCTTTGTGTTTGTTTAATTTTTTTTAAACATTAATTGGTGTGTATTCATAGTTAGATAATACAAAGTACTTTTAAAATTAAGTCATAATTAGTAAGATAAGTAAAGTACTACAAATCAAGATATTATAAAATACATTTAAGGGACTTCCCTGGTGGTGCGGTGGTTAGGAATCCGCCTGCCAATGCAGGGGAAATGGGTTCGATCCCTGGTCTGGGAAGATCCCACATGCTGCGGAGCGACTGAGCCCATGTGCCACAACTACTGAGCCTGTGCTCTAGAGCCTGCAAGCCACAACTACCGAGCCCATGTGCCACAACTACTGAAGCCTGCGTGCCGCAACAAGAGAAGCCACCGTAATGAGAAGCCTGCACACTACAACAAAGAGTAGCCCCCACTCGCCACAACCAGAGAAAAGCATATGTGCAGCAACGAAGACCCAATGTGGCAATACATACATACATACATACATACATACATACGTTTAAGACCACCTGTGAATTATATTGACTCCTACTTTTTTCAGTTATTAAAGATAAAAATCTCCCCCACTGAGTGTCCTGTAGGGACTGTTATAAACCAGATTTGAGATTGTTCTAATCATTGAGTTATACAAAGGGAGAAAAATCATGAAAAAGAAGTGCAAAAATAATAAATAACTTGTAGGATGTGCATACTTCAGTAGTGTTGGGTTGGCCAAAAAGTTCTTTTGGGTCTTTGGTAACATGGGAAAATCCCGTGGCCAACCCAGTATTTCTCTCGTGAATCTCAGAGGTTTCCATTTAAAACCTGGAAGATGGCAGCACTATTTACAATAGCCAGGACGTGGAAGCAACCTACGTGTCCATTGACATATGAGTGGATAAAGAAGATGTGGCACGTACATACAATACAATGGAATATTACTGAGGCATAAAAAGGAGTGAAACTGACTTATTTGTAGTGAGGTGGATGGCCCTAGAGTCTGTCATACAGAGTAAAGTAAGTCAGAAAGACAAAAACAAATACTGTGTGCTAACACATATATATGGAATCTAAAACAAAAATGGTTCTGAAGAACCTAGGGGCAGGACAGGAATAAAGATGCAGAAGTAGAGAGTGGACCTGAGGACACAGAGGGGGAAGGGTGAGCTGGGAAGAAGTGAGAGAGTGGCATGGACACATATACACTACCAAATGTAAAATAGATAGCTAGTGGGAAGCAGCTGCATAGCACAGGGAGATTACCTTGTGACCACCTAGAGAGGTGGGATAGGGAGGGTGGGAGGGAGACACAAGAGGGAGGGGTTATGGGGATGTATGTATACGTATAGCTGATTCACTTTGTTATACAGCAGAAACTAACACACCATTGTAAAGCAATTATACTCCAATAAATATCTTAAAAAAATAAAAAATAAAACCTGGAAGAAATAATTATTGAGAACCCTTGTATTAACATTCCTTTCTTTTTCCCTTTGAGTTACTCCTTTTCTTGGGCTGTCATTCACATCTCTGCATCTTTCCCTTTCCATCGGTATTTTTCTTCAATGTTTTGTGTTCAGTTATGCTTTTTAGAAATATCATAGATTCCTAGACCAGTACTTTTTCATTTTTTAAATTATATTTGATACATAAAAAGTAATGAAGATATAAATTATGCAGTGCACTAATAAAATGGACACCTGTGAAGTCACCACTTCAATATATGAATTAGAATATTGAATTTTTAAAATCATGAAACCACGTATGTCCACCTCCACTGTTACATCCTCAGTGGTAACCACTACACTGAATTTTTATCGTTTATTTGATTTCTAAAAAGTAGTTTTACTGTGTATGTATTACTGCTAAATAATGTTACTGACTTTTGCCTATTTTTGAGGTTTATAACTTATTTTACTCAAAAATGTAAGATTCATTCTTGGTTTTCATGTGTAACTGTTTTGTTTTCACTCGTGTTTATGTCTGAGAAAACAAGTAAACAATGCTGTGAACATTTTTTTAACGTGTATATGGGTGTAGGAATCTCTTCAGTTTTAGATTTGTTGGTTCATGTAAATATACACATTTTAAATGTTATGTGGTAATATCGAACCCTTTTCTTAAGTGATTGTGCAGATCACAACCAGCAGCTTCCTGCTGCTTCATTTCAAACCCTCACCAGCACTTTTATTGCCAAAAGTTCTTAATTTTTGTTTACCTAGTAATATAAAATGGTATCTCACTTTAACTTATATTTCCCTGATTATTAATGAGGTTGGACACTGTTTCATTGGCCATTTATTTATCCATAATTGATTAGGGATTACGGCTGAAATAAGTATTCATTTCCTCCTCGTATGGATAGTTATCCAGGCATCATTTATTGAATAACCATACCTGCTGCCGGGATTTGTTGCGTCACCTGTCGTATCAGAGTTTCATATATGCAGGGATGTGTTTCACTGGCCAATTTGTTTAACCCTGTGCTAACAGTACAGTACTGTCTAAATTAAAGTGTGTAATAAAAAAATCTTCATGATACCTTTTTTTTTTTGCCGTAGGAATGTCCTTTTTCTTTTTAACTCTTAAAGTCTTTTAGTAGAGATTTGAAGTTTTCTTTATAAAGGTTACATATACAACCTCTTTTTCTAACATTCATTTATAGGTACCACTCACCCACAACTTTTAGTGCCTAGTTTAAAAGACCTATTTTAAAAAAAGCTGTCTGAATCTTTGTGGCTGCTGCAGTGTTACCGTCAATTCTTGTCTGTTAGCTTATATTCAGCTACTTGTAAACTCTTATAGATTCTAATTTGCCTATCTTTTACGTTTTCTATGTAGACAATAATATGTAAATTGTAACTACTTTATTTCTTCATTTTTTAGTAGTTACAGCTTTTTTCTATAAATACTGTGCTTCCTGTGCTGCCTAGTACAATTGTGAATAGCAGCGATAGTGTTGCATCCCTATCACTTTCCTCATTCTAAAGGAAATAGTTCTGTTGTTTCACCATTAATAATTTTTGCTACAAGTTCTTGACGCACATCCTTTATCGAGTTGGAGAATTTCCCTTTTATTTCTAGGTTTCTAAGAAATTTGTTTGCTTTAAATGAAAGTGTATTGCATTTTATAAAATGCTTTTCCATCATTTTTAGATGATCATACAATTCTTTTAATGTGGTATACGGCATCTAAAGCACTTATTATATTTACTGCCTTTGCATTCATCAGATAACTCAATTTAGTCATAGCATGTGATCGTTTATGAGATAGTCTGGCTTCAGTTGCTGATTATTATTTTTTATTTTTTAGGATTTTTACATCAGTGTTCACGAATGAGATGGAACTGTACTTTTCCTTTCCTCTCATGTCCTTGTCAGGTTTTGAAATTAAAGTCCTGCTTTTTACTGATGCATAGTTTTTTTGTTTATAAGACGACGACTAGAATATTGAGAATTTTTTTTTAAAATCTCTCCTAGTATGTGTCTAAGCAGAAAGCAAGGTGTGTCAAGACTAGAATTCTCTTTTCTTTAACATACAGTATTCCTTAACTATTTAAAGTCCACATTTCATTTCTAAATATGTGTTCATTTCAGTCTCTGTTTTTACAGCAATGTACTGGTATAACTATGAAGTTTTAAAGAAGTGGTTGTGTGCAAAATCTGGTTTATATGAACCGACATTTATGATCAACTTTACTTCAGGGGCATTATCTGGTTCTGTAAGTTTATTCTTTTGCTGTTAATATTCCACAATAGTGATAATTGTCTTACTAAAATAGAACAAAATATTATGTAGCATTTCATGTCTATTGAGATACTACTTTGGGGCTGCAGTGCTTTAAAATTTTTATAAGTATTTACTACCCTATTCTGAAGATAAATTACTAGCCATATTTTAAAATGCATTTTATATGTTTTTATTATATTACAAATACATTATATTTTTCTGAATCTTGGATTTGGTAGATCATTACAGTTGTGATAAATGGTAAGAGTTTAAATAGTACTTTATTCTTTACAAGGTATTTGGCAATCTGGTCATTAAATGCCAGTAGATCTGGTTAGTTAATATTTTATAGAGTGTCATCTCATATGTATAATCGGATTGAATAGAAGTAATTTCATCCTTTGCTGCTAATTCCTGTTTCTTTGGGAACATTTTGGCTGAGTACCTCTTAAAAGAATTTTAATAAAAGTTATAGTCAGACGGGAGAAATCTCAGATGACCATTTTTGGGTAGTAGAGAGTTCACCTTTTGCCACCCCTCCACATAATGAAAAGTTGTGTAGTGGACTTCCTTTATGCACATTCTCATCACCATGATCTTGGCCACAAAGAGCTTTCTTATACCCACATACTTAGAAAATGAATTTGTGATGACACAGAGTGATGTGCTGACATACTGGAACCAAATGAAAACAAGAGTGAAGGACCATAGTGAGGTCATGGAGACCTGCAGAAAAATACTGGAGTAACTGTGTCAGAAAACCTAGGCTAAAGAAGCCCCTGAGATTGTGTTCAAAATTTAGACGTGAATATTCCCTGGTCTGAGATCTTATCAAATTAAGCCTAGTGGGGTATAAAACTATTGAGGTAAAAGAGCAATTCTTTTTAGCAATTTAAGTAGTTAGAATACCAGCAAAATCTTTTCATTATCTTTCTTATTTGTGAGGTGATTAAAAGTAATTTGATTTTATTTAATTTATATATTAATCCAGCACGAATGAAGAAAAACAAGTACTATTTATATTTAGAGATTCATAACAGAATTATAGAACCAATTCTGTACTTAATGCTTTATATCTTTAAAAAGAAAAAGGCTATATATATATCCTATAGCCATTGAATAATGGCTATAGGCTGTTGTCCCAGCTTTCCAGTAATATTGACGGAACGTTCTCTATTCTACTACTTCTGCCTAACATAGAAAATTTATTTTAAAAAATTTTAATGATTTAGAAAATATTGCTGCCTTTTGACTGTTGTCAAATAACAGCAGAAAAAGCACATCAGTGGGACAATGTCCAGGCTTTCTGTCAGAAAAGAAAATAGCCTAAACCATATCATTTTACAAGTGTCAGGCTCATACCACATTGTTGCTACCTTTGATACTCCCATCGGCCCTCCCTATCCAGAGGTTCTGCATCTGCAGAGTAACCAGTTTGATTCCTGATTGTTGAATCCACGGATGTGGAACCGCAGATATGGAGGGCCGACTCTACTGTACCATTTTATATAAGGGATTTGAGCATCTGCAGATTTGGGTATCTGTAATCAATACCCCCCGGATACTAAGGGACAACTGTATGTGTTAGATTGTGGAGATGGAGACACAATAATTGATTTTATCTTACCTGAGATCTTTGAAACTGATTTCATTTCAAGAACTTAAATCTTTTAACACTGACAGGTGAAATAAATATAATGATTTTAAAGGGCATTTTATGAGCATATTGGCCAAATGTGAGTTGGGAAGCAAAAAATAGAGACCAGGTTTTACTTTGTATGATTGTTGTATCAAATATTATGAGACATTCTTCAGGGAATTTATTATTTCAAAAAACCTTCATTGCTTAATTAGGGCATTATGAAAATAATTGTTAAATTGATTCATTTTGAGGTAAGTTTTTAAAAATGTGACTTGTGAGCTACATTTGATAAATATGTTGAAACCTATAAAGAAAAGGTTTATAGAACTAAAAGTACATTTTCTTTATTTAAATTTAATTTTTAATTATATTTATTTTAAAAACATTTGTTGGAAAATTTTAAATGCTTACTAGATACTTGAGAATTTCCACTTTAAAATATGATACTTTCCTATGTAGTAAAGGAATAATGGAACACACACAGGAGCATCAGAAAATATGAATACTGGTTTCAGAGTCAAAGAGGTCTGGTTGGAATTCTGACTCTGCCACTGATAGTTGTGTGACCTCAGGAAAATAGGGGACTTTTCTGAGACTGTTTACTTACTCCTGAATTTTGGGAGGAATATGTAAGACATGTATCTGTTTTCTTTAATAGAGCTTCTTTTAAAGTACCTCTGGTTTCATTTTATGTTTCAGATTAGGTGTGATTTTTATTACTATCCTTATTAAGTAATGTGCTAATTAGAATATTAAAATACTTTAGGAAAAATTTTAAAATAGATTTAAATCAGTTCTACTTTTTGTTAGTTTGCAGCTGTTGTAACTTTGCCATTTGATGTGGTAAAAACACAAAAGCAGACACAGCTTTGGATATATGAAAGTCGGAAAAGTAAGTGTAATGAATTTACATTTTTAAGATGCCATGAAAAGTTTTTTCTTTCCAGATACTAAGTTAGGAATATCTAAAATAGGGAAAACAAGATTTTTTTTCCCTTTGTTACCTTACTCTTTATCTAACTCAAACTAATACACTGTCAGAATGGAATACCCAGAAAAAAATACTCTAAACCTAAACAAAAAATCTAAGAAATCTTAAAGACTATGTATTTTGCCTGCCATGAGTTAAGTCTCATACCTGCTATATAGAAGATTAAATTATGTAAGTAGTCTTTCAAATAAATGTAGGCATACCAGGGTGAAGGATAGGCAGTTACGGGGAAACCTTTTTTCTTAGTGCATCTTGTTTCATTAGTATGCATACACGTTTTGTTGTTGTTGTTTATTTTTTAGCTTTCCTTCTTTTGATGTGTTTTTTTCTGCCTATTATCCCATCTACTTCTTTATAACCTATAATTTCTTCTAGAACAAAAGCGTACTGTTAGTTGCTTCTACTAGATCCATTCTGTCGTTATTATAGAAAGTATAGCAAGCCCACTGGAAATGGGGCTTCGATTGTTTCTGAAACATACAATTGTTAGGATTTGATAAATTTGGATGGTCAGTAGATGAGTGTTTATTTTATTGTTGTCTATGCTTGAAATATTTAATAATCACAGTGTTTCCTTACACTGTAAGAAGTTGCTTACCACCTGTACGATTAGCTCTTTGATGTTGGATCTTTAGGCAGGAGATACTTTCAAGGTTCTGTTAGAGCTCTGCAGTGGCTTACCTCCAGTCGATAACTCTTTCTGTTCTTTCTCTTTTACATTAGTTTCACCCTGCTATTAAAATAGAGACCAGTCTGGGACTTGAGTTCTATAAGATTAGAAATACCCAGCTACTTGGCCTCCTTTCTTTTACCAGTTGTTTCCAGAATTTAAATGAAATAATTTAAACATGAAGTATAAGTTACCAACTTGTAAAGTGTTTGTCATTGACTTTTTTTAGAAAGTTAAATTCCAGTCATAAATATTTTGTTCTTGGTTTTAAAATGTGTATGTAATTACTATATTTATACTTACACTATTTATATTGATAGTTTAGCTTCTTAAGTAAATCACAAGGCCTTATTTATCTTCATAGGCAGAAAATCTGATATTTTATATACAAGAAATTTTGAGATAATGAGCCCCTCTTTATTAAGTGGCAAATTCTAAAAAGCTGTTTTTGAAAGCTATCTTTCTCTAATTTTTCCCTTTTTTCCTAGGCATACTTAATAATACGTACTTTAGTCTTTGTTCATGACAGAGTTGTCATCATTGTACACATTGATTACTGTAGAGTTTCATAATGCAGCTCTCAGAAGCTAGTGAGGATAACTTAGGAGTGTCTGCCCAACATTCAGTGGTCTCAGACCACGACTTTGAAATCTTCAGCTTCACAATTTTCACATGGTAGTATGCCTACTTCTCAGCAGACTTTTTTCACCTATTGCATCTAGTAGTACTGCGGGCTAAGCCAGATGCTTGTAATCGTTGTGTAAAATGAAGGTAAGCAAACTTTATGTATGAACAGCTCGTTCATGAGGTTTATGTTTGAACTTCAGTAACATCTGTTTTTGCTGTTTTCAAAAGATATATAAATTAGTTTTTACTGTGTTCCAGATATTTGAGTAATTGCAAATAAGTGAGATGTTACTGTTAGTTACAGGAAAAATCTTCCCTTTGGAGGAGATAGCACTGCTTTAATTTATTTCAAGACTGGTACATCTAGTATTCAGAAAGGTTTTAATAAAGCAGGGCCTCACTAGAGAGGAATGAACTGTTTTCCTCAAAACCTCTTTTTGGGGCAAAAAATTTTTTTAGTGTATGCAATAAGAATTCATGAAAAATGGTTATCAGGGCTTTACTTTGGCTTTGGGAACCCCATGAAGATTTCTGTACATCTTTAAAATTTTTCATTATGAAAGGTTTTTAAGATGTGGAAAAAAGTACAAAGGATATACATACCACCAAGCTTAAGAAACAAACATCATCAATTCAGAAGAAGTCTTCTGTATATTCCTCCTTGACTGCATCTGGCCCTATGTACCTTAAAACTTATTGCCTTTATGATTTTTTTCTTTTTAATGAATCCAACTATTAAAAATAAGATTTAAAATAGCTCTTTAGGTAAACAGATCTGTTCTTACTATAGTGAAATGATATACCATAAAGGCCATAAACACTCTTTTATGTGTATTATCTGTATTAGAAATTAAGTGGTAATTTATAATAGCATCATTTCTTTATTTTAACACTTAGTTTCTATGCCTTTGCAAATGTCAACGTGGGCTATAATGAAGAACATTGTTGCTAAGAATGGATTTTCTGGATTATTTACAGGTAAAAATATTTCCTTTATCAAATCATTGACTAAAATGATTACTTTTACCTTTAAATCTATTGCCTTCCTAAATTACCTTTCAGCAGG